AAATTGGCAACTAATATATATAGGAAAAAATCAGCCGGGCATGGTGGCGCATGCCTGTAGTCCCAGCTATTTGGGAGGCTGAGGCAGAAGGATTGCTTGAGCCCAGGTGATTGAGGTTGCTGTGAGCTAGGCTGACGCCACGGCACTCACTCTAGCCCGGGCAACAAAGCCAGACTCTGTCTCAAAAAAAAAAAAATCAATGATAGCAATCCTTAATGCTAGGTTTTGATCTTGCAATCTAGATGTTCTAAAATAATGTTATTGATTTGCATCGAATGGCACTCAACTCCAAGGTGAGTTTATTCAGCAAATGTGGCTCTTCCTAGCCAATGGAGAACACTAAGGATTGTGTAACTTTGTTATTCAAGACCCACAATTTTCCCACTACAAAAACTGACTCTTGTCATCACAAAAACCTGTATTAGATACAGCCACATGTACCGTTTATACTTATCTTCTTTTCCAGAGGTTGTGTGACATGAAGAAGAAGCCTTTTAGAGTAGGTAGCAGGATGAAATGCCAACATGCCACCTTGGCAACTGGTGGTGCAAAGAAGCCAGCCACGCTACCCAGTGATCTTAGTGCTATTGTCATTACCTGTAAGAAAAGTGATCAGTCTCCGTGCAGTAGTATGCCTCTTACAGACAGAGTTGAACAAGGGAACACAGTTGACACAGAGTGGAGCCACAAGGAGACTTTCATACCGTGAGTCTACTGTGGAACAGTTTCTACCTTATTCTCGGGAACCTATAGCTGTGAAATTTCTCTGTGCTTTTCATTGACCGCGATGGATAACCTGTCTGTCTGTCTTTCAAGATTTGGAGCATATAAGAACATTGATTCCCCGCCCTCCCCTCCATTGGCTTCTCATCTTGGTGGTGGAGACAAAAGTTATCAACCTGTCAAGGCCAAGACCCACTGTTCTTCCATGGGGAACTTTTGGAAATGTTGATTGAATCTGATTGTAGGCCGGGCGCGGTGGCTCACGCCTGTAATCCTGGTTCTCTGGGAGGCCGAGGCGGGCAGATTGCTCAAGGTCAGGAGTTTGGAAACCAGCCTGGAGCAAAGAGCGCAAGACCCCCCCCCGTCTCTACTATAAATTAGAAAATAACTTTAATTGGCGGCCAACTAACTATATATATAGAAAAATTAGCCGGATGGTGGGCGCTATCTGTAGTCCCAGCTACATCGCGGAGGCTGAGGCAGGAGGACTCTGTCGGTGAGCCCTGGAGACTAAGGTTGCTGTGAGCGGATGGCTGACGCCACAGCACTCTAGCCTGGGCAACCCAAGAGTGAGCTCTGTTCTCAAAAAAAAAAAAAAAAAAAAAAAAAAAAAGAAACTGATTATAACTGTATTAAGTCTGCAGAAAGAATGAATCCTTAAGACCAACCACATCACCACTCTCGTGTGTTAACTAGACCTTCATTTAGTTAATTCTAGCCTTAGGAGGATCTGCTCATATCAGCTGGCCAGGGGCTACTGCCTACGAGAGCCGGGCGAGGGTCACCGGGGGTCTGTTCCCCTCCAAGGAGATGGGCCCCAATCACCATGGATGTTGATATCTGAACTACCATGCGCATACTCTTTTTTTTTTTTTTATTTTTTTTCTTGGTAACTATTTATTTATTCCTGAAAAGCACATGTACTAAAGACAAACCACGTGCCAAGCACTGCGCAGGATTCTATAGGAGTTACAAAGATTAACACCTTCAAGAAGTCCACAGGCTCACACCTGTAATCCCAGCACTTTGGGAGGCCAAGATGAGAGGATCACTTGCCACCAGGAGTTTGAGACTAGCCTGGGCAGCAACACCTTGTCTCTGCAAAAAATGAAAAATTAGGCAGGCATGGTGGCCCACACCTATAGTCCCAGCTACGTGGGAGGCTGAGGCAGGAGGATCGCTTGAGCCCAGGAGTTGAAGGCTACAGTGAGCTATGATGATGCCACTGCACTCCAGCCTGAGTGACAGAGTGAGACCCTGTCTCAAAAAAAAAAAAAAAAAAAAAAAAAAAGTCCACAGTGGGAGAGAGAGAGATCAGCACAAAATTCCAACATAGGATTATGTAGACTGTTATAGATGGATAGGTTCCCAGTGCCTAGAAGAATGGTAGGATACAGTGAGAGCTCAGTGAGTATGTTTTGGTAAATATTCAAAGAATGAAGAGATGAATGAATAAATAAACGAATATACAAAAAGGGCTATGAGATCTGAGAGTGGGAAAGAGAGTAACTTTATTGGAAAGGAATCGAGGAAGGCTTCCAGAGGAGGTGATAATCTGAGCTGAACTCTGAAAGCTGAAAAGGTAGCACAATGCTCTGGTCATCACATACTCTTAATTTCAACTTTACATCTTGCAGTAATGCTACTTAGCATAAAGCAGTGGTTCTCAAAGTGTGGTCCGGGGACCAGCAGCACCAGCGCTGACTGCAAACTCGTTGGACATGCAGACTCTAGACCTCCCTGAGCAGAAACCCAGGAGGCCTGAGGTTTAGGGGATTCTGATGCATGCTGAGTTTGAAAGAAACAAACATAGAGCATCTCTGAAATGACTACACATGAGCATGTTTTTTAAAATACTAACTGGGCTCAAGAGGATTCATTATCCTTTTATTTACCTCTGGTAGTGAGTGTTCCCTGCTGCAGACTTCTCATTATGCATTCATTAAGGAAAACACGGTTTGTGAGAACTAAGTGTGCTTTTGGTGTATTTGCGTATAATAAGGAACTTAGAATGATACATTTTAGGTATGCTCTGTTAGTGAAGGATTTTATTTTATTTTATGTTATTTTTTGAGACAGAGTCTCACTCTGTTTGCCTAGGTCGGAGGTGCCGTGGCGTCAGCCTCGCTCACAGCAACCTCAATCTCCTGGGCTCAAGCGATCCTCCTGCCTCAGCCTCCCAAGTAGCTGGGACTACAGGCATGCACCACCATGCCCGGCTCATTTTTTATCTCTATATTAGTTGGCCAATTAATTTCTTTCTATCTATACTAGAGATGGGAGTCTCGCTCTTGCTCAGGCTGGTTTCGAACTCCTGACCTTGAGCGATCTCCCGCCTCGGCCTCCAGAGTGCTGGGTTGCAGGCGTGAGACCACCTCGCCGCCCCGTGAAGGATTTTAGTTTTCAATATCTTCTAAAAAAAAAAAAACTATAGTTAGAAATAATCTAGTCTTAAATGGTTATATTTGATTATTTAAAATTTCATATTTGATTATTTAAATTTAATTTGATTATTTAAAATCAAAATATTTTGATATTTAAATTTATGTATAAATAACGTTGCATGGTTGGAAAGGCACGACTTTGGAGTCGATCTG